TTGAATGGGTTATAACGATGGCTCACATGGGTTTTCCTGTAACGAAAGACATTTATTACATTCTGTCATAAACTGGTTGCTGAACTCGGTGTGTCTAACAAATTTAAGGAAGGATATCCAGGTCGGCATTGGTATGAGGGTTTTCTTAGAAGAACCCTTTGATTAGTAAAAAGAATATTCAACCCTTGACTACGGCTCATGTCATTGTGAATGAGGTCAAAATTAGGGCATGGTTCAAGCGAGTTCAGCAATATTTTCAAGAAAATAACTTTAGTGAGCTTTTCCAAGACCCATCTAGAATTTTTAATTGCGATGAATCTGCATTTTTGCCCAAAAGGTCAAGCTGTTTTAGCTAAAACAGGTTCCAAATCTGTACATTGCTGATCGGGAAATGATGAAAAGGAGGCCCTTACAGTATTGATCGGCGCTTCTGCAGATGGGAAGTTGATGCCAATTCTGTCATTATTTCTATATAAGAGGATACCATCTAACATATTGGCAAAATACCCGAAACCCTGGTCCATAGGCAGAAGTGATAACGTGGTGAATGACCAGCGAAAACTTTTTTGAGTATATTGGAAATGTTTTTCATTCCTTTCCTTATAAACGAAAATATAAAAACCAGTTGTTTTATTTTTGGATGGTCATGTTTCGCATTTGTCCTATCACCTGTGTAAATTATGTAGAGAAATTGGCATTATTTTGGTGTTGCCTATATTGCCCAATTCAACTCATATTTTACAGCCTATGGACGGTAGCGTTTTTTCACAGCTTAAAAGTGCCTGGAGTAGAAATGTATATTCTTGGCGAATAGAGAATAATGCCCACGTCGTTTAAAAAGAGAAGATTCTGGACCGATTATTAAGAAATCTATTGATGAGGCAGTAAAACAAGACAATAAGAAATGGTTTTCGCAAATGCGGATTATACCCATTTGATGAAAACGCCATTGATTACAGTCGACTTGTCAAAAATACTGCTCCATCATCTAACTCAGATTTGCCAGCAAGTTCAATAGGTTCATCAACACCAGGTCCATCAACATTACAACCTTCAAATAATTTTGTTGCACACTTTGAGGCACATTTGGGAATGGCAAAATTCAATGCATTTCGGAATTGCTATGGAGAGTGGAATGGGGATTTAGAAGATACAAGGTTATATAACTATTGGAAAAGCATTAGACAAATTTATTCAAATCCTCGCAATCATATGGTTCCTTCTCTGGAGTCTTTGCACTTGGGTGACTCTACGATAGGTGCAAAATTATACGCTTTCAGAAATTATTTTAGACTGGCCAAATGAGGACTTGGCATTGGATGGAATGAAAGAACATAATACCTTAATACAGTGCTCAACGCCTCAGAGGCAATTAAACCAAGAAAAAAAGGATAGATAGAAAAAGGCTGAACAAAGAAAAAAAGATCAAGAAATCAAAAAAAATAATGAATCACAAAAGATAAGAAAAAGAAAAGAAAAGGCGCGACGAACTCAAAAGACCTCGAAAAAGAAATTTTAACTGGAGAAACTAAATGATGACAAGGAAAATCGTAATACAGAAAACAAAGAAAACAAAAGTACCATTTTAAACAAAGGCGATTTTGTGGTAGTACACTATGAAGGTGAAAAGTTTCCTGGAAAATACTCGGAACCTCTAATGATAAGACTGATCAACCAAAGTACCTAGTCAAAACTATGACTATGAGCGGTTTTGCAAATGGAAGGGTTAACTGGCGTTGGCCTGATAAAGACGATGTGTTAGATTATGATGCCAAAGATATAGTACAAAAAGGAAACCACCAATTCCAGTAAATAAAAGAGGTGTATTTTCTGTACCTGATTTAATCTAGTAAATTAATAAATTTTTATTAGGTGTTTAAATTTTTTATTTAGAGTTTAAAGTATATATTTACATAAAGTTTATATTTTCGTTAAATAAGAAATATAGTTTAATAAGAAAATTATGTATTAACCCTCTAGCTAATTGTTATATGATCTCATACTTTAAATAATTTTGAATGTTAAGTAATAATATATTTATGCAGATTTAGGATTGATAATTGAATACATAAATATATCCTCTTTGTTTCATATTTTTTATTTGATTTATTTTTTCATTCCAGTTTGATTTATTCATATCATTTCCAGTGTTACAATAATTACTGTAATTTTAATACCAACTTTTATTTCATTTTTGTTTGGAAGTTTTATAATCACTTATACTGTTCAAATTTCCATGAAAATATATAACTATGTGGTTTAAAATTATATCAAAATATTATTTTTCAATTAAATTATATTCATTAAATATAATTAGAATTATAGACAAACGCGTGGTTCACCAAAATGCCGATTATTTCTATAAATGACGTTCTACGACGAAAAATCTTGTTTTATAATAATCTTAAAGGTCTAATTAATAAAATATAACAGATTTAGTTCGTCCACTTTCCTATTTTCTCTAAAATTCGTCTTTAAAGTCAAACGTTTCTTAACATCCCGTAATATGGTACGTTTACGTTAATCCTCCTAAACTATAATTCGGATTTTCATGAATCTTCCTGAAGTTTGTTCGGGACATTTTCTAGAATGTTTTGATTCATAGAAATATAGTTAGATTGTAGAAATAAATAGAAAAAATTATAAAAAACCGTTTATCATTGTTTGCCCTTGAAAATATTGAAGCTTAGTTTGACATTAAAAACAATTGAAGACTGTCATTTGCCAAACATTTCTATTCACTTATAGGCTAAAGCAATATTAAAATATAATAAATTCATGATTATGAATAAGGAAAATGTAATGTCTACATTATTAATGCCGAAAAGCAGCTGAGATGTGACAAAAATTAAATTAATATAATATGCAAATAATATAACATGCGTCTGACAGTCTGCGCATGCGACTGACGCGCACGGCGAATCGTGTTCTCAACGTGCGCGTGGTTTGCTTTTGCTTGCAATAATTTTGTTTGCGCACTTTGCGAACAGATTCGCCGTACGAATTCGTGCAAAGGAGACGAACCATAAGTGATTGCGCTCAAGAATATTCAATTTGCAGTCGTTTTGCCTTACTATACTAAAACACAATACAAAAAAAAATATTTAGAAGTTTCATTGTGTCAAAAATTCATATGTTTGTCATTACGGACGGAATATTTACTCAATGGAGCGCTTTTGGTCTGACTTTTTTTACTGTTTTCCATTTGTTTGGAATTTTGGAACTAGGTTCTTCTTACTCTTCAGAAGTGAAAACCATTTAGACTCCTTTACCACGTCTCGGGTGGATGACATTTCTTTTCAGTGGTGTAATTTTACTTTTTTCAAAATAACGTTGGGCATCGATAAAAGAACTAATTATAAGCGAAAAATGTTTAATAATGTTTTTTAAAAAAAGCAAATACTTTTCAAGTTACTGGCTACTGAAAATTTGTTTCTTTTTGCGTTTTTCATCATTTTTTGCTAATATCTTCAAAAATATACATTTTAACAAAAATCATGTAATGAACAAAATTATATCAAATAAAATCTTAAAAAATCGCTATTTTATAGTGTTTTAGGAACATTATTAGGCTAGATATGAAAATGGGTTTTTATAAGTTCTCCAAATAAGCTTTAAAAGAAGTACTTCTGCGTGTAAAATGAGTAAGCGATCATGCAATTAAATGGGGAAAAAATTTTTTTGGGGATATTTTTTGGGGATATTTTTTGGGGAAATATCCCCGAAAAATATCCCCAAAAAATATCCCCAAAAAATTTCCCCAAAAAAATATCCCCGAAAAATATCCCCGAAAAATATCCCCGAAAAATATCCCCAAAAAATATCCCAAAAATATCCCCAAAAAAATTCCCCAAAAATATCCCTGAAAAATATCCCCGAAAAATATCCCCAAAAAATATCCCCAAAAAAATTTCCCCAAAAAATATCCCCAAAAAAATTTCCCCAAAAAAATTTCCCCAAAAAATATCCCTGAAAAATATCCCCAAAAAATATCCCCGAAAAATATCCCCGAAAAATATCCCCAAAAAATATCCCCAAAAAATATCCCCAAAAAATATCCCCAAAAAAATATCCCCGAAAAATTTCCCCAAAAATATCCCTGAAAAATATCCCCGAAAAATATCCCCAAAAAAAATTCCCAAAAAATTTCCCAAAAAAATATCCCCGAAAAATATCCCCGAAAAATATCCCCAAAAAATATCCCCAAAAAATATCCCCGAAAAAATATCCCCAAAAAATATCCCCAAAAAATATCCCCAAAAAATATCCCCAAAAAATATCCCCAAAAAATATCCCCGAAAAATATCCCCAAAAATATCCCCAAAAAATATCCCGAAAAATATCCCCAAAAAATTTTTTGAGTCAAAATTTTTTGGGTCAAAATTTTTTAGGCCAAAATTTTTTGGGTCAAAATTTTTTGGGTCAAAATTTTTTTGACCAAAATTTTTTTGGGTCAAAATTTTTTGGGTCAAAATTTTGTTGACCAAAATTTTTTAGGCCAAAATTTTTTTGACCAAGATTTTTTTGGGTCAAAATTTTTTTGGGTCAAAATTTTTTTGGGTCAAAATTTTTGTGTCAAAATTTTTTTGACCAAGATTTTTTTGGGTCAAAATTTTTTGGGTCAAAATGTTTTTGACCAAAATTTTTTGGGTCAAAATTTTTTGGGTCAAAATTTTTTCGGTCAAAATTTTTTAGGTCAAAATTTTTTGAGTCAAAATTTTTTGGGTCAAAATTTTTTGGGTCAAAATTTTTTTGGGTCAGAATTTTTTGGGTCAAAATTATTTAGTCAAAATTTTTTTGGGTCAAAATTTTTTGGGTCAAAATTTTATTGACCAAAATTTTTTAGGCCGAAATTTTTTGGGTCAAAATTTTTTGGGTCAAAATTTTTTTGGTTCAAAATTTTTTGGGTCAAAATTTTTTGGGTCAAAATTTTTTTGACCAAAATTTTTTAGGCCAAAATTTTTTGGGTCAAAATTTTTTTCACCAAAATGTTTTTGGGTCAAAATTTTTTCACCAAAATGTTTTTGGGTCAAAATTTTTGGGTCAAAATTTTTTTGACCAAAATTTTTTTGACCAAGATTTTTTTGGGTCAAAATTTTTTGGGTCAAAATTTTTAGGGTCAAAATTTTTTTGACCAAAATTTTTTAGGTCAAAATTTTTTGGGTCAAAATTTTTTTGACCAAAATTTTTTAGGCCAAAATTTTTTGGGTCTAAATTTTTTGGGTCAAAATTTTTTGGGTCAAAATTTTTTTGACCAAATTTTTTTGGGTCAAATTTTTTTGACCAAGATTTTTTTGGGTCAAAATTTTTGGGTCAAAATTTTTTTGACCAAAATTTTTTTGGGTCAAAATTTTTTGGGTTAAAATTTTTTGGGTCAAAATTTTTTTGACCAAAATTTTTTAGGCCAAAATTTTTTGGGTCAAAATTTTTTGGGTCAAAATTTTTTGGGTCAAAATTTTTTGGGTCAAATTTTTTTGGGTCAAAATTTTTTGGGTAAAATTTTTTGGGTCAAAATTTTTTAGGCCAAAATTTTTTGGGTCAAAATTTTTTTGACCAAAATTTTTTAGGCCAAAATTTTTTGGGTCAAAATTTTTTGGGTCAAAATTTTTTTGACCAAAATTTTTTAGGCCAAAATTTTTTGGGTCAAAATTTTTTAGGTCAAAATTTTTTTGAGTCAAAATTTTTTGGGTCAAAATTTTTTGGGTCAAAATTTTTTTGGGTCAAAATTTTTTTGACCAAAATTTTTTAGGCCAAAATTTTTTAGGCCAAAATTTTTTGGGTCAAAATTTTTTGGGTCAAAATTTTTTTGACCAAAATTTTTTTGGGTCAAAATTTTTTTGATCAAATTTTTTGGGTCAAAATTTTTTGGTCAAAATTTTTTTGGGTCAAAATTTTTTGGGTCAAAATTTTTTTGACCAAAATTTTTTGACCAAGATTTTTTGGGTCAAAATTTTTTGGGTCAAAATTTTTTTGACCAAAATTTTTTGGGTCAAAATTTTTTTGACCATTTTTTTGGGTCAAAATTTTTTGGGTCAAAATTTTTTTGACCAAAATTTTTTAGGCCAAATTTTTTTGACCAAATTTTTCTGGGTCAAAATTTTTTTGACAAATTTTTTTGGGTCAAAATTTTTTGGGTCAAAATTTTTTGAGTCAAAATTTTTTTGGGTCAAAATTTTTTGGGTCAAAATTTTTTGGGTCAAAATTTTTTGACCAAAATTTTTTTGACCAAGATTTTTTGGGTCAAAATTTTTTTGGGTCAAAATTTTTTGGGTCAAAATTTTTTTGGGTCAAAATTTTTTGGGTCAAAATTTTTTGGTTCAAAATTTTTTGGATCAAAATTTTTTGGTTCAAAATTTTTTTGACCAACATTTTTTTGGGTCAAAATTTTCTGGGTCAAAAATTTTTGGGTCAAAATTTTTTTGACCAAAATTTTTTGGTTCAAAATTTTTTGGATCAAAATTTTTTTTTTCATTTAAATCAAATTAATGGGGAAATTAAATACAATGTTTTTTTTTTCATTTAAATCAAATAGTTTATGAGTGCCATTTCCACCAGAATTAAAAATAATCGTTTTCCATCTAGAATTAACTTGGTTGGAGAGATCTTGATGGATTCTAGAAAATACCATAATGTTAGTACAAACGATTTTCAAAAAACTCATGATTTCATAAAAAAATCCATTAAAAAAAAAACAATCTCATTATAATATATCCGAAAGAATACGTATAAAAGTATATATATGAAAATTCAAGGTATTTTTCAGACTAATTATTGCTTTTATTATTTTTGTTACACAAATATTGATAGAGGTATTAATTAAGTAGTGCGCGGCTGTCCAACCAGAGGTCTTTCGAGCCCTTTAACCCTCCGCCGTTTCACAATAAGAGAAGTGACGGTAAAATTTATGATAGAGAAAGTTGTAGCTCATTTAATCACCATTAAAATAGTGTATTACAAGTTCTGATAAAATCAGAATTAAAAGGGTAATAATCCAATTAATGCGGTGGATGGTGACGGAGTGCAAATTGTTTTTACTTCTGAACTTAAGATAAAGATTAGCCTACTTCCAAAATATCAAGTAAATTGGAGCACAGTAAAAAATTCACAGAGCAATAATTTTGTTGATCGTAAATTGAATAGAGCACATGTGAACAGGATTTGACAAATTAATTCACTTCAAATATAAACTTAAGCAATAATGTATATTGATTTATAGGAGAAAAAAATGTAATTTAGATATTAAAATTACTAAAAGCCAGTTAAAATATGGTACGAAATTATAAAAATTATAGGCAACATTATTGAAGCAATTATTTTGGCTCGAAAAATAAAAGGTGATATTGCACCTTTGCCGAGAATGCTATATATTAATTCTTTCTGAATTTGTTGTACTTTTTAAAAGATTTCAATTTTCAACACGTGTATCTTATGCTATGACCATAAATCACAAAGGCAGACGATCATTTTTAGTGTGATAAATTTGGAAAATCAATGTTTTAGTCGTGAATAAAAAAAAACCACTCATTTATACTTCCACATCTACAGGTATGACTAAAAATACTATATAACCCTAAAATGCAATAAATAAATTGAGCTATTGGAAATAAATTTGTTCTATAAAACGCATTGTATAATTTTTAATATACAATTTTATTGAACATTTTTTAATATTTGTTAAATGAATAATTAAAGTGTTAACTGTGGGAATTAAGAACAATCATTTTATTTGAAACAGTTACACATTCAACATCACTCATATATTGGTGTAAATAGTAATTCAAATAACAGTAATTATTATTTTTAACTAAGCAGTAAATATTAGTATGAAATATTGAAAAATTGTAGACGTGGGTACAGAACAACGTCTGTCGGGTCAGTAAGTATATATATATATCTATATATATATATATATATATATATACTATAATATATATATATATCTATATATATATATATATATATATATATTATCACATATATTTTATATAAAAATGTGCCCATACTACTTAATTTTAGTTCATTAGTAATTTGACTCGCCCTAATATATATATATATACTAGCAAACCCGACGAACTCCGTTTCGCCACCAGATGGTTTCGTGAGAAAGATGAAGAAATTTTTTGTTTGTTTTATATTTGAAAAGGAAAAATTTGATTTTATTACACAACAGTAATGAATTTATTTCGATTACAAAAATGAACTGCACTAAGTAAATGAAAGTGAATCTGCAAATTATCTGTTTTATTGAAGAGCCTTTTGGTAAACTACATTTTTTGTTTTTTGGCCTAACATAAACAAAGCGGATGGTTTCCCAACTCGTGAACAGGCAACGTACAACTGGCCATGTGAAAAACAATGATTTTCTAAATTTATACCGCAAACACTAAGCGATTGGCCTTGCGACTTGTTAATTGACATTGCAAACGCAAGGCGAACTGGAAATTGCAATCGTTTGAAGTCAAACGAAAGACTAGTCGGAATCATTGGCATTCGAAGAATATATACATTTTCACCTGCGTACTTTCCGTTAATAATGGTTGCCTCAATCAAATTCGGCATAAGTCTTCTTACTGAAAGTTGAGTACCGTTGCAAAGTTGCGGTGGATTCAAATTACGCAATGTCATTATAACAGCGCCAACTTTGAGTTGCAAGTTATGTGGTGGAAATCCTGGTAACTCCAGAGAGTTAAAAAACTTCGTTGGATAATTTACTACATCATCGGGATTTGTTATGGAATCAATGGATTTGTATGTCACCAAATCGCCAGCAATTTTTGACTGAATGGTGAAATTCAGTGCGTGTACATCATTATTCTTTGCGGCAAGAATTGCTCGTTGACTTAACCAATCATAATTCTGATAATTTTTGCTAATTTTTGGGAAAACATTTTCAATAAGTTCTAATTGAGAGTCTACAAATCGGCAAAAGTCATTGGTAAGAGTAATTAATCCAGATGTCGCATCAACTGGGACTTTCCCATTTCCAACAGCTAACAATTGTTTGGAAAATTGTGCAGCACTTTGATCATTTTGAAGTTGAACTCTCATATTAGTGGTTAACGATAATGTTTTTACGTTATTCCATAAAGGTGATGCTTTCAGGCAAGCATTCAATTCATCTGTAGGCGTTCCATGGGTAATTACTGGCAACGTCTGCCTGAAATCGCCTGCAAACAATATCGTCAAGCCGCCAAAGATGTTGTTATTTCGCCGAAGATCTTTCAGTGTGAAGTTAAGTGCTTCAAGTGATTTCTTATGTGGCATTGTGCACTCATCCCAAACAATGAGCTTGCATTGCGTCAACAATTTTTCCATTGCACTGGATCGGGAAATATTGCATGTTGGAGTATCAAGTTGTATTTAAATTGAGGCAACTTAAGTGCAGAATGTGCAGTACGACCTCCATCTAGAAGAGTCGCTGCAATTCCAGATGATGCTAACGCCAAAGCTATGTCACATCTTGATCGAATAGTGGCCAAAATCAATGAAATGACAAATGTTTTCCCTGTTCCTCCAGGTGCATCCAGGAAGAATAGACCACCAGTATTATTGGCCACCGCTTGCATTAATGTTTCGTATACTGTTTGCTGTTCATCAGCAACGGCACATTATTTCGAAAGAATTCCTGCAATGTATCAACATTGTATTGCAGCTCTCGATTTAATTCTTGGTTGAATGCATCGTGCATCGATCGATTTGGCGCAATCATTCCTACTTCAATTAGTAGCTTGTTTGCAATAGTCAAGCATTGATCCTCAATCAGAATCAATCCTTCATTGTAGATTTCATCGGTTATTTTGAATATCAGGATTGTTAGTTTGAATGCGCAAGCGATGCAAGATATCTTCACATATGTCGTCTTTGTATTTGTTCCATAATTGTATTGGTTGTGAAGGAAAGCATGTGGTGATGATAATTGCGAACAGCGTTCGTATTTGGTACGCATTTGATGAAACAACTGAATCCGCTAGTGTTAGATCCCAATGAGAATCGTTCTCCAGCAAACTCAATAGTTGACATGCTTCTCGATATGTTTGACATCGGTGGCCATTACAGGTTTTAAATGCTCAAACGTTTTGGTCCACGTACATTTACCAACAGCAGTCGCAACTAAAAACATTTATCACTTCTAGGATGAACAGTATATATGCGACCAAGTGCATCAGTGGAAAACACATGTGGCCAATCTGGAATTGGGGTTCCTTGTTTGCGGCGTTGGAAATTCTTTGTTGATTGATTCCAAGTGTAATACTTGGGCATATCAACGTACATCAGCGTCGCTGCGAATGGATCTGCTTCACACATAGCAAAGAAGCTAGTAATGTTGTCGATGGTGGTCTCTCAGCTCGCTGTGCCGCATTAGCCTCAGTGAAGTAAACTCTTTGGCCATTTTCCAAATGCACTGCTAAATGCATAACTGTGGGATATCTTTCATGAATTTGAAATGATAATAATCGCCACAATGCTTCATTACTACTGACGTATCTGCCAATTTGGAAGCTGCTAATTTCGTCATTCGCATTTTCCGACGCAATACCAAACACAGTCATGTCGGTGCCTTTTGTGACGTACTTGCACAAATATTTGATTGATTTGGCCGATGACAACTTTCAACATTTGCATGTGTTCTGAAAATTCGAGATAGCAGCGGGCAATATGCTACAATAAATTCATTTCCGATCTCAATCTCTTGATTTTGAACTTTAACTTTGATAGTTGAATGTATCAGCAACTAACGGTCGCGGATATCGTTTTGTGCACTTTCCATTAGCCATGCAAGGCGATAATGGATTTAATGCACCGCACGGTCCATGCACCATCTGTGTCGTCACAATGTCGTGTAGATGGGGATCAGTGACTGGATCAGGAATTTCAGCTGATATGATGTCATCCACTTCATTTGAATGTAATTTATTCAGCAACCAAATTAGGATATGAACATGCGGTAGTCCACGCTTCTGACATTCCACTGAGTACATATAACAACGTGTGTCTCCAAAAACTCGATACTTAGTAAGCACATCCATCATGACCTTGAGTTTTTGCTGAAATACTCTGGCTATTATGTCATGGCAATCTTGCGGTTTTTGGCTCGTTTCCAACTCACGTTCAATTTCCGTCCACTTCGGATTGCAAGTGAACGTAATAAATAAATCCGGAGTTCCATAATGTCGCACGTACGTCATAGCGTCTTGAGCGTATTCGTGCATGTGGCGTGGACTTCCGGTATAAGATGATGGGAGAATCGTGAGACGTCCAATATTCTGAACATCACCATCTGAATGAATAGCATCTCGCAAGTGTATATAGTCCTCAGATCGTAGCTTTGCCTGATTGAATCGAATGAACGCTAAACGTTCGGTCTCGACTTTGACATACATGTCGACAGCGAATTGCTGGAATAGCCGACGGCACTTCAGAATGACATTCTCCTCATGTGGACGAATCATCATACGATATGCATAGTATTTCATAGCGCTTAGATTTTTATTCGTTGATAAACCTGAAAATGCAAAATTAAATGAATTGTTAATGGAAACAAATAATAGCAATAATAAAAATAAATAGTGTGTTAATATTGCACCTGTAATTGGATCGACCATCTTCAACGTGATGTCGTAACCGTCTTGCCCTTGCTATGTAACGCGTCGTACAAACGATGTGTCTCGTTTACGCGATGCATGGTATTGCTTCATCGCTGAACGACAATGTCTCGCGATTTAGTTGGATCGCCAACAATAATTGCAGCAACATCATTAACGGTGGGTGCATTGAATCTTCGCACATTCACCTCTTGGGGTACAATCCGCTCTTATGACAAATATGTGCGTATCTGATGGCATTCGTTCCAATGCTGTTTTGAACATGGTAACCACAGCATTATTAGCGTGAAAAAATGCTTGCAACTGTTCAATAACTCGTCTCTTTAACTCTTCCTGCATATTGCACCGCACATTCAGCTGATCCACTATCGACGAAATTAAATATATTTGCAGAAATTGATGCTGTTCATTTGGTGTTGGCACCATTGAACCATGCAAATGGTATATTTGTCCTTGTATCTGTAATTTCAAACAATCATTAGTTGAAGAATACCGTGTAACTTCTGACCGTGTGATGGTGTAGTGTGAGGTGTGCAATTCATTGTATTGGTGTGAGTGATTGGTTATGTGCGTTGTATCTTTTACCTTGCAAGTCGGCCTGAAGCCGCCTTCTTGAATGATATTAGCTCCAAAGGAAGTCATGCAAAGCAGTTATTGTATTGAAGAATGTGTTGAAGAAAATGGCTGGAATCGGGGTCACTTCCATCAAACAATGATTTCAGTGGCGGTGGTGGTGCAAGTAATGGATCCAGTTTTACTTTTCCACTTGCGCAGCACAATCCAGCCATTTCTCTTTTGAACTTTAACGCATTGCAATATCGGCATATAGTCGTCATTGGTCCAATATCAAAATTTTTATCATCACTGTAGTTTGCAGTGGGATCATACTGGAATGCCAAGCGATTGTATGATGCCAATGATCTACGTGTACTGATGCGTTGTCTTAACCGGGCATTTTGTCTTATTATATTTTGTCTGCCTTCGCTTAAGTTTAGTAAATACACTTGCTGCTGGTTTGCATGTCTTGTGCGGCGACCGATGTTCGCACGTCGTCCTATAGGCATTTTAGACTATGGACAGAGTGGTGAATTTAAACTCAAATGCACTATCCACATAATTTACACAGTTTAACTTACCACCTTAAAGACAAACGCCTGCCTTAAAGACAAAAATTTGCACAAAACACGTGATGTTCGGAAAAGAATAACTAATTTAACTTTTTTGCACAATTTCACTGTAAACACAATGCCGGTTTATCACCTGAATTTAACTGAACGGTGAACATTGAGATGTCAAACAATGTATCTACCGGCGTTATCTACCGGCAGCGGTTTGGTTTGTAGTACATGCTAAGTTTTAGAGATGACGCCGCATGTAAAAAAAGAAAATATGTTTTCCGCTTTTCTGTTGATTTTTTTTTAATTTTCTTAGCTATAAACCTTGCGGAGCCCGAGACCTTTCCAACGAATGTAAAATTGTCGAAATCGGTTCGTGCGTTCTGGAGTTATTTCGTCAGGAAGAAAAACCCGACTTATTTTTATATATATAGAAGAAGAAATATATATAATATATATATATATATATTATATATATAATAAATAAATATATATATATATATAATTATAATATATATATAATATATATTACTAATGAATTAAAATTAAGTAGTATGGGCACATTTTATATAAAAATATATGTGTTGTTTAAAAGAATTTTGACTGCAAAACCATATATCGCAAATAACTTTTCAACAGGCGAAATTTTCAATAAATTACTGTTTTTAATAAGTAACTATATTAATTTAAGCATGTAAATAATTCAAATTCTGAGTTACATTTCCTTTATATTTTATATTTTGTTTGTGGGTTTTTAAATCGGGTCTAGTTTGCTGTTATTTATTTCCATCAGAGTGCGCTAGTATTTTTTTAAGTTTTAATTCTCAAAAATTGATCATAATATATAAATGTAACAAATCCACATCACTCTTCATTCAAATCTTCAGTTAGGCGAGAAGTATCAATGGCGATTTATTTTTAAATTCAGGCGCAAGTGCCCTTAATTTGAATCATATACGCTCGCATGATCAAATTACATTTGGACAAGCAGAAGAATTTACAGGAGTAAATTTTCTGATAAGCGTGGAAATAAAAGCTGTAAACCGGATCCGGGTCCAGCGCGGTTCCGGGTCTGGAACCGGTTCCCAAATTTTGGGAACCGGTGACGGTTCCATTTTTTTTAATTTTTTTTTTCACCTACAACGTTTTATTTTTATATCCTATATTGTTATTTCTAATTCTTATTAATTTTAACTCAACATTTCAAACATTCTAATATAAGAACTCAAGACATTATTTATTTCCATTTCAAAGCCTATTTCGATTCAAAATTAATTAACTTATTCGAATTAAGAAGTTAAACCATAATAACTTTCGCGAAGGAGTACTATGTTTCAGCCAGAAAATCTGACTGAATAATCTTATGCTAATAAGTCGTTCTGTATTGTTAGAGACCACATTTGCCTGTTTTTCAAAGTTAAAAAAAAATCTTTTTTAAAAAAATAATTCTAGGTACGGGAAGTTCCAGCAATTTGCCTTAAGGCACAATGCCAAGCACTACTAGTTTACCTTTCACTTTCTCACAAACTTAGCTGTTGTTCATTCA